CCAACGTGCAAAATACTGTAGAAATCGACAGCGAAATAAGAACTTGGTCAAAAAAGCCTCGCGCAAATGGAGAGAAGTGAATAGAGTACTGTGCGACAAGAAAATACGAATCAAATTGAAAGGAAAGGTGCACAGAAAGATAGCAGGACAAGACCGGCGCTTCGGTAAGGAGCAGAATGTTTTGATATCCTGAAGAGACACGAGCAAGAGCTGAACACAGTAGAATGCTCAGATACATGTGTGGTGTCAGCAGAAATTACCGGAAATGAAACAGCTTCATAAGATGCACTATATTCATAGCACCAATTTCGAAAAAGCTCATCGAAAGCAGGCTCCGCTCCGTGAAAAGAAAAGTCATTAGGTACGTTAGAAATGTGGTCCAAGCACTGATACCGCGAGGGAAGAAAAGAAGGTAAAGACCCATGAAGTGGCGCGATGTCGTCAGGAAAGATACACTATGCGAAGTCACCGAAGATTTAGCCAAAGACAGAAAACAGTGGAGGAGTTTAATTGATTAGTGGACTTCTGTTAAACGGAACATACCAGGAAAAAGAATAAGAGTAGATTACTGTATTTTGGCTTTATCCGAAAATGGATTACTTGGTTAGTGTGTTGGAAGTCCCACTAAAAACAGAATAAAATAAATATTAAAACACGCCGCGAAAAAAAGTAGTGAATGGTACTGGTGAACGCATGTCACGGGTTTCTTAAAAGGTAAAAACTATAACTAGGTTCGATTATAACAAAACTTCAGAAAATATTAACCTTGAAGAATAATCGTGAGACATGGGCCGCAATGTCGATGTTGGCAAATCATTACATTAAGTTTGGCATTGTTTGTATAATGTTCTTTAATAAACTGAATAATATAATGCTGTTTTACATTTGATTTTTGCCGCCAAATACATAATTCATAAATAACAGTATAGCTTATATTACACTATCATTAATCAATAACGTCATACCACATTATCATAATTATTAAACTTATGTGAAGTTATTATTAACAAGCATATATTAAATAGAAATATTTCGCAAATATTCATAAAGCGGAGCAAATAATGCATCAACGCAACGTCACTCAACTTTGAAACCAAAAAAATAAAAACATGGAAAGTTTTGTGAAACCTTTTCGATGCAGCTACGCAACGTGACGATGTTTGACAGCCACCAGCCGACGCCGTATGACCGTAGGTCTGGCCAGTT